CCACATATAAATAGAGGCTAGATGAATTATTTATTGAATAGCAATAAGGAAAAATATTGGGTTGACTCCCAACAAGCACTTTTCTTTAAAGCCTTTTAGCTAGGCATTGATAATTTTAATGATGCTCACATGATAGACAAGAATTGGAGCGCAAAGAGAGCATCATGAAACCCGTGACAAACTCATCTAAGTCTAACATACTTCCTATGCATAGGCATATTATAAGCAAACAAATTTGCAAGGCAAGCAAAAACTAGCATATGCAAGGAAGAAGAAAGGGACGATAGCAATCTCAACATAACGAGAGGTAGTTTAATAAGATAAAAATTTCTACGACCATATTTTCCTCTCTCATAATAATTACATGTAGGATCATAGGCAAATTCAACAAAATAGCTATCACAAAACATATTCTCAACATGATCCACATGCATGCAAAGTTGACACTCTTCCAAGATAGTGGGATTAACATTAACTAAAGTCATGACCTTTCCGAACCCACTTTTATCAAAAATATCATAAGATTGAACATACTCCAAATATGTGGGATCTAAAGTTGACACTCTTCCAAACCCACTTTCAATATTATTGCAAACACTATTATCAATCTTATATTCATCATGGGGCTTAAATAAATTTTCAAGGTTATAAGAAGAATCACCCCAATCATGATTATTGAAACAAGTAGTAGACATAGCAAAACTAGCATCCCCAAGCATAGGGTTTTGCATATTATTAGCACAATTGACATCAAGAGAATTTTATATGAAAATCATTGCAATCATGCTTTTTATTCAAGGAGTTATCGTGAATCTCTTCATAAATTTCTTCATCATAATTTTTAGATTCACAAATTTCAAGCAAAGCTTTATAAAGATAATCTAGTGCACAAAACTCACTAGCAATTGGTTCATCATAATTGAATCTCTTAAAAAGATTAGCAAGCGGATGAGGATCCATAGATCTTAGGTTCTCTGTTTAGCAATAAATAAGCATCTAATCCAACAAAACGAGCAAACGAAAGGGCAAGCAAAAGAGAGAAGAGGAGATTGGGAAAGAGAGGGCGAATAAAACAGCAAGGGTGAAGTGGGGGAGAGGAAAACGAGAGGCAAATGGCAAATAATGTAAATGCTAGGGAGATGGGTTTGTGATGGGTACTTGGTATGTCTTGACTTGAGCGAAGACCTCCCCGGCAACGGCGCCAGAACATCTTCTTGCTACCTCTTGAGCAATGCGTTGGATTTCCCCGAAGAGGAGAGGATGATGCAGCAAAGTAGCGTAAGTATTTCCCTCAGTTTTTGAGAACCAAGGTATCAATCCAGTAGGAGGCCACACACAAGTCCCTCGTACCTACACAAAACAATAGCTCCTCGCAACCAACGCGATTAGGGGTTGTCAATCCCTTCACGGTCACTTACGAGAGTGAGATATGGTAGAGATGATAAATAATATTTTTGGTATTTTTGATATAGAGATGCAAAGTGTAAAGTAAAAGGCAAAGTAAAAACAAAGCAAGTATTAAAGTGATGGAGATTGATATGATGAGAATAGACCCGGGGGCCATAGGTTTCACTAGTGGCTTCTCTCAAGAGCATAAGTATTCTACGGTGGGTGAACAAATTACTGTTGAGCAATTGATATAATTGAGCATAGTTATGAGAATATCTAGGTATGATCATGTATATAGGCATCACGTCCGAGACAAGTAGACCGACTCCTGCCTGCATCTACTACTATTACTCCACTCATCGACCGCTATCCAGCATGCATCTAGAGTATTAAGTTAAAAACAGAGTAACGCCTTAAGCAAGATGACATGATGTAGAGGGATAAATTCATGCAATATGATAAAAACCCATCTCATTATCCTCGATGGCAACAATACAATACGTGCCTTGCAACCCTTTCTGTCACTGGGTAAGGACACCGCAAGATCAAACCCAAAGCTAAGCACTTCTCCCATTGCAAGAACTACCAATCTAGTTGGCCAAACCAAATGGATAATTCGAAGAGACTTGCAAAGATAACTCAATCATACATAAAAGAATTCAGAGAAGATTCAAATATTATTCATAGATAAACTTGATCATAAACCCACAATTCATCGGTCTCAACAAACACACCGCAAAAAGAAGATTACATCGAATAGATCTCCACGAGAGAGGGGGAGAACATTGTATTGAGATCCAAAAAGAGAGAAGAAGCCATCTAGCTACTAGCTATGGACCCGAAGGTCTGAAGTAAACTACTCACACTTCATCGGAGGGGCTATCGTGATGATGTAGAAGCCCTCCATGGTGGATGCCCCCTCCGGCGGAGCTCCGGAACAGGCCCCAAGATGGGATCTCGTGGATACAGGAAGTTGTGGCGGTGGAATTAGGTTTTTGGCTCATGTTTTGATCGTTTGGGGGTACGTAGGTATATATAGGAGGAAGGAGTATGTCGGTGGAGCAACAGGGGGTCCACGAGGCAGGTGGGGCGCGCCCTAGGGAGGAGCCCCCCACCCTCGTGACCGCCTCTTTTGTTCCTTGGAGTAGGGTCCAAGTCTCCTGGATCACGTTCCCGAAGGTTTCATTCCGTTTGGACTCTGTTTGATATTCCATTTCTTCGAAACACTGAAATAGGCAAAAAACAGCAATTCTGGGCTGGGCCTCCGGTTAATAGGTTAGTCCCAAAAATAATATAAAAGTGGAAAATAAATCCTAATATAGTCCAAAACAGTAAATAAAGTAGCATGGAGCAATCAAAAATTATAGATACGTTGGAGACGTATCAACTGTCATTCTAAAACTATTGCACCAAAATCAATATGGGTTTCTAAAAAAAGGTCAATACAAGATTGCTTAGCTTGGTCTTATGAATTCATTCATCAATGTCACCAATCTGGACAGGAGTTGATTATCCTCAAACTAGACTTTGAGAAAACTTTTGACATGATTGAGCATACGGCAATCAGGAATCTACTCGTTGCTAGAGGCTTTGGACCTAGGTGGATTATGTGGATGGATATGATCTTCTCATCTGGGTTATCTTCAGTGCTGTTAAATGGGGCCCTGGCAAACAGTTCCTTTGTAAAAGAGGGGTCAGGAAAGGTGACCCTCTTTCCCCTCTGCTTTTTGTCTTAACTGTTGATCTGCTACAAACAATTCTGAATGAAGCAATGAAAAATGGTCTTATTAGTGCCCCTCTCAACAATCGTGTTAACCAGGATTTCCCAATCATTCAATATGTTGATGACACTATCCTAGTCATGCAAGCCAATGTTGCACAAATTAATCAGCTCAAGAATTTTTTCATGCATTTCAATACCTACACTCGACTGAGAGTCAACTATAATAAATTTGTGTTTTTCCCATTAATACTGCCAAAGAGAAAATGTTGGAGTTGGGGCTTCCTCTATGTCTATCCGAACCAAAGATTGAACATTTCATGCCCATTATGAAGAGAATTGAAAGAAGGCTTGCAGGATGTTTCACTCTGCTTTCATATGGAGATAAATTGGTGCTTGTCAAATTTGTGTTCTATAGTCTACCTATTTTATTTATGTGTAACTTATCACAACCAGCTGGTGTTATAGAACAGATCAAAAAGTATCTCAAGCATTTCTTCTGGAGGAAATATGGGATGGAAGACAAGGGTACTACTCTAATTACATGGGACAAAGTGTGTCAGCCTAAAGACAACGGTGGACTTGGAGTCCTGGATATTGCCAGCTACAACAAATGCTTGCTTATGAAACATATTCACAAGTTTCTTAATCAACATGATATTCCTTGGGTCAAGATCATCTGAGATTCCTATTACCCTGACAGAATGCTAAACAGAACACCACAAGGATCTTTTTGGTGAAAAAATATTCTTAAATTAATCTCTGAATTTAGGCAAGTGGCAATTCCTAAGCTGGGTTCTGGTAGCACTGTTAGATTCTGGATTAATAATTGGCATGATGGCACACTAAAAGAAAGGTTCCCAGAGTTATTCTCTTTCAGCAGGCATGAGCAAATTTCAGTTCAGAAACTCAGTGACTTGGATGATCTATCTGAACATTTTTACACACCTCTCTCCATTCAAGCTCATCAACAGTTTCAGGATATAACTACTCTGCTGCAAGCCACACAGCTGAATAGCTCACCGGATAGATGGTGCTACCCATGGAATACACATAAGGATGGGTATTCTTCTATCAAAATGTACAAGCACCTTCAAAAGAAAGAGTTAGCTCCATCAATTTCCAAGAATATATGGAAAAGTGCTGCAATGCTGAGATACAAGATCTTTGTGTGGCTTATTCTTCATGACCGAGTAAATGTCAGAAATCTTTTTTTGAGAAAGAATTTCCATCTGCCCAACTATAACTGTGAAATCTGCAACTGTTGTTATGAGGAGACCGGTCTTCATCTATTTTGGGACTGTCCATTCGCTCTATCATGCTAGGATTTCATTGTGCCAAACAGGGATAGGGGCACTAATGCTTTTGATGAGATAACTTTCCTCCTAAATCACCTCCCCAAACAATTGCTATGAGCATAATCATCAAACAATTTGCTATGAGCATAATCATCATGGGCTGCTGGCATATTTGGATGCAGAGGAACTTCAAAATCTTCAAAGCTCAAAATCCTTATATGCAAGCTTGAAGAATTTTGCTCAGGACTGACCTTAAGATGATTGTGGTGAGAGAACACAGAGATGCATTGAAGGACTGGATTACAGATAAGCTAGCTTAATTCTTCATGGATATACCTAGAGCTGGTATTAGATAGGTGGCTTCTGTTTTTATTTTTTTTCTTTTGGCTGTACATAAACTTGCTTTATTTGAATGAAAGTTACGGTAGAACTATTGTTCTATGGTCTTCGGTCCAAAAAAAAAGAAAGATCTACTGCTGCAACAGAACTCGCTAATACTACGTTACAAGAAAAGCTCTATGAACAGGCAAAACTGTAGACCCCCGTTTTACATGGATGTGATGGTAGCTTTTTCGATAGGGATGTGAAGGTAATTAGAAGGGTGCTGTAGCAAAGTCTCGTTTCTTGGCGATGCGCCCACGCATCCGGCGATTACGGCGCACGTCGACATCGTCGACGAGCAGGTCCGGATCAAACACGTCCCCTTCCTCGTCATCGTCCGAGTCAGAGTCCGTGGAGTTCCTCCTGACGCCGAGCACCGGCTTCAGACCCTGCGCATCACGCGTGCAGCACGACGTGTTATTATATGCTACAAAAATCACGAGCGAACGTAAACGGAAACAGCAGGTTTATGACCGACAACAAAGTAAAATGCACGTTTACCTCGGTGAAGATTCGGGCTGCGTCCTGCGAGGAGCGCGTGGTCAGCACGTACAGCGCTGCTTCCTGCAGGAAACGAACAATGATTGACATGTAAAGGAAACCAAACGACGCAGGAAGATCTGACGAGCTGGAAGAGATGGTGCTTTGCTTACCCTGGCGTAATTGAGCTCGCCGAGGGAGAGCGTCTTGGGCTCCCGCTCCATGGAAGACATCCTCGCCGGCTTTGCAGCCCCGACGACCCTCATCGATCGTCACGTCACGTACGGGCGACGATTTACTATATACCCACACGTCTCTTGCGGATTACCAATGGGTGCACGCTTCGATCTGGTGATGGTCTCGCGCGCTGTGGCGGAGGAGAGGAGCGAATGGCCGCGTACGTGTATATATACATGCGGCCGCTGCGGCCAAAGGAAACGAAAGCAACCACGAACACCATACGTGTCATCGGGTTCCCATGCGTCGGTTGCTGCGCCCGTGGAGGAGCGACCGAGGACACGTGTGAGTGGCTGGTGGGTCGGAGCCGTCGACCTGACCGATCCAGAGCCAGCCGTCGTCGCCGCCGATCGAGCGCATGCCTCGCCGGACGTGAGGCCAATGGGCGCCCGGCACGTGGTGTTGTTCGAACGGCCGCTCCGCTGCGCGCACGTTACGAGCTGCTGCGCGTATGTGTGACGTGACGTGTGATCATGTCGGCTGGGTGAGCCTGCTGTTGCGAGAACCTCCCAGCGTTTTCTCTTGAGATCCGGCGATTTATGGAGTTAGAAAAACAGTAAAAACAATTAAAAAAAGGTAAAACCAAGCCACTTTTTCTTAGACAATCTCAAGAAACTGAGAATGTATCCTGTGCACCGGGGAACATAGGTGGTGCACCGAGGGGATTGGTGCTACCGGTGCACCGGACCCTGTTGCACATTAAAAAATGTTTTAAAAAATTCAAAAAAAAAAGTTTATCGACACAACATCAATGTATGTTATCATAAAAATTTGAATCAAAATTCAAAACAATGGTCAAGATACAAAAATGACAAATTTGACGTCAATGTGCTAATGGGCCAAAACTGAAGTCCAACTTGTGTTATGTACTATTCAATGTCAAATTTGTTATTTTTGTATCTCGAGCAATGTTTCGAATATTGTTTTAAATTTTTGTGACAACGTACATTGATGTTGTGCCAATGCGCTAATTTTTTTCAGTTTTTTTTTAACATTTTAAAATGTGCAACGGACGACCGGTGCACCGGTAGCACAAATAGTCCCGGTGCACCAGATACATTCTCCGGGAATGTATCTGGTGCACCCGCACTAGTGGTGCTACCGGCGCACCGGATGCCATATAATATTTTAAAAATATGTGAAAAAGTTTTAGCATGTTAACACAACATCAATGTATGATGTCACAAACTTTCGTATATAAATTTGGAATATTTTGAGATACAAAAATGACAAATTTTACACCCGTGTGATAATGGGCCAAATCTAAAGCCCAAGTTATGTTACATACTGTTCAGTGTTGAATTTGTTATTTTTATTTTTCAAGTTATGTTTTGAATTTTGACTTGAAATTTTCTGACAACCTACAGTGATGTTGTGCGAGTGCGCTAATTTTTATCCGTATTTTTTGAACATTTAAGCACAATGTAAGTTCGGTGCACCGGTAGCACCACAAACTCCGGTGCACCAGATATTTTCCCTACATTCCCCTGTGCACTGAGTCAATTTGTGCACCCAATGCACAGGTGGATTCTGGACCCTTAGATGGAGAACTAACGGGCCAGACTTTTGGTCAAAAGTTGGACTATGCCCTTTTTCAGAGACAACCCTGCACTTTGTACAAATTAACCCGCACCCTACAGCACACACTCCCATCAAAAATCTGCTTGTTTATTTTTGGCCAAACCAAAATGATTCATATATTTTGAACCGAATGTTCGATTTCGGATCCATTTTAACTGTCATATTTTTCTTGATGAGATCTTTGAAATAAGATCATATTGTGTATGTTTCCAAAAAATAATATTTTTTTGCTTGTCTGAAACTTGACTCGAAACTTGATGTACCAGAAGCATGTTGCACGTGAGACACACATGTGAGAGAGAGGCGGATGTTTCTCACCGGCAAATTACAAAACTTGTAAATGTTGTAATCAAGTTTCGAGTTAAGTTCGAAAAGGCAATAAATATTAATTTTAAAAAATATACATAATATTAATCTTGATTCAAAGATCTCATCAAAACAAAGGAGGTAATCAAAACGGTTCCAAAATCAGACATTTTGTTTAAAATATACTACCCCCTTTTTGTTTGAAGCAAAAAAAATAAACACACATAGTTATTTAGAGGAGAGGGAGACGTGAGGTGTGGGTTGATTTTGATATAAAAAAAGGACTGTGCTGCAATGTTTCAACAATCCACCTACCAACCTGATCATATCCCTTTGTTTTTTATCCAATGGCTCATATCGCAACGGAGCATTCGGTGCATGATTTAAGCTGGTGCACCTGATACGTTCTCTCACGAAACTTTAATTCAACCGTCAAGGACGAAGGAAATACCCTAACCAAACAAACATAGCGGCCAGGCCTAACATCAGCGCATGCTTCACTAGATTGTGAGCCTTAATATTTGAGTTTTTAAATTCGTGTACTTGCTTAACTTATTAGAACGGAAGGAGTACTATGTTACATGAAATAAAAGAAGATAAATTCAACTTGATCTCCTCTATGATCGCTCCATAGAACGAGCCACTCCCTCGATGGATTTCTTCTACCACCCCTTTGCAATCTGAGGTCAGATGAGTCTGGTGCAAATTCAAATCTTGAGATAAGGCCATACCTTCCCTGATCGCTGAGAGCTTCAAAGGTAGATGGATCGCTCATGTTTGTGAAAACATGAACCGAAGCACCGAGGAAAGCCCCCTCGCGGCTCCGACAAATTGCACCAACAGTGCCATGGTGCCCCGCTCGTCTGACCGTTGCGTCCACACTGGGTTTCATGTGGAGTTCAGGTGGGGCTAGCCAACCCGTTTGCCTCGGAGCAGCAGTTCCGTGCGACTCGCTCTTTTGCGTTATCACATGTACGTAGCTCCAACCAGTTTTTTTTAGAACAAGTAGTTTCGACAAGTGTTTTTTTTTTTTTTTGAGAATCAGTAGTTCCAGCAAGTAGGCGTTCATAAAACCGTGAATTGCTTGTGGGCTCTCATAGATTTCTTTGTGAATCGCTTTCCCCGGGGTGCCCGAGATGGCCCAAAGGGTTGTCTCGTTGTCTCGAACCTGACAATTTCTTCTGATGATAATGCTTCCCCCATGGCGAAGATCCACCTCTTGGCGCAGTCATCCTGGTTGATGCTCAGTTGGTCCAGAATTGCTTCAGATGAAAGCGCCCACGTACTCCATGATATAGGGCAGTCCAGCATCACATGCCTCCACGTATCGTGCACACCGCAAAGATTGCACGATGAAGCTGTTGCCATATTCGTCGGTGGAGGACTGCACCCGACAGGATGAAGTTCTTTGTCAAACGCCATAAGAACACTCTGAGCTTTGATGGAACTTGCAATTTCCATATGATTTTCATTCATTCTTTATCTCCTAGTTCAACATGTGATTTTCTCTCTCGGCACTCTAGCCAACATGTAAAACTGAGCCACCTACGGTCTTCCACAATCATTCGGGCTTTTGAGCCGTTGGATCGAACTCATGAGCGAAGCAGATGCCCTTGTCATCCTGTAGCGTCCTTAGTTTGGGCCTCTGCACTGCATGACTTTGCCCTATCAGGGGACCTCCTTTTCTTTAGATTATCAGGGAACCTCCTAATCATCGCTCTCTGCGCCTGTTTGTGCTACTGGCGCCTGAAGGAGAGGCTTGGCAGGTTGGCCAAGCAAAAGCGCCTTTGATCGAACGCAACCTTGCGCGAAGTAGACGTTCACTCGAAAAACAAATCGTTTGCTCTATCACATCTAACTGGTTCAGCAGGACACCGTTAACTTTAGAAAAACTCGTATTTAAAAAAAATCTGAAGTATTCACAAAGAAAATGAACACAGAACGAAATTTCGAAAAACTCTAAAAAAATAAAATAACAGGAAATGTTAACTAGTTTGAAAACAGTAATTGGATTTGAAAAGTTCACGAAAATGGAAAAGGTTCATCAAAATTGAAAACAGTTCACTAAGATTGGAAAAAAAATGTGAATCTGAAACAAAGTTCATCCCAATTTTAACAATTTCATACCTTTTGAAAGAAATCACAAAAATGAAAAAAGTTCGTTGATTTTACAAAAAGGTCATTGATTTTGAAAAAATATACCAATTTTGAAAAAGAAGTTCATAAAATTGAAAGTGTTCATTGATTTTGAGAAAAGTTCATGGATTTAAAACAAAGTTCGCAAATGAAAGAAAATGGTTACCATTTTGAAAAGTTCACGAAATTTTAAAAAGAAAAGAAATAGATAGAAACGGAAGAAAAACCGGCTGAACAAAAAAACTAACATGTTCACGATGGTTAGTATATTTGAAGAAGGATAAAGAAGTCAACTTTGGACAACAGGCAAGTTGTCCAGTTGGTTGAGGCGCTTCTACTAAACCTAGGAGTGAAGAGTTCGAATGTCGTCCGCTGCACATTAAAAAAATTTGCGCAAAAAAAACATTTCATGATAGTCACGATTGTGCTTTCGCGAGAGGCACGGCCTCTTGGAAACGGAAAAAAATCGTGTTTTCTGTTTTTTTTCTTTCACGATAGGCACGGTTTTGCTTCCGCGAAAGGCACGGTTGTGCATTCACGAGAGTCACGGCCGTGCCTCCTCGGAAACGAAAAAAAACACACATTTTCTGTTTTTTTTCTTTTGCGAGAGGCACGGTTTTGTTTCTGCGAGAGGCACGGTTGTGCTTTCGCGAGAGGCACTGGCGTGCCTCTTTCGGAAAGGAAAAAAACGCGTTTTTTTGTTTTTTTTCTTTCGCGAGAGGCACGGTTTTTCTTCCGCGAGAGGCACGGTTGTGCTTTCGCGAGACGCACGGACGTGCCTCTTTCGGAAAGGGAAAAAATGTGGTTTCTGTTTTTTTTCTTTCGCGAGAGGCACGGTTTTGCTTTCGTGAGAGACACGGTTGTGATTTCGTCAAAGGCACGGGCGTGCCTCTTTCGGAAAGGGAAAAAAACCCGTGTTCCCGGTTCGGTTTTTTCGTCGGTTTTTTCGTCCGGTTTTTTCGTGAAAAAGAAGTTTGTTAAAACCTATCAACATGGGATCTAGTTT